CGAGATGTTTTTGCTTCTCTTTTTGTGGTGGCAACAGCATTTCATGGCCTATTTATATTCCTGATGCATTGCTTACGTTCAAAGGATGCTCAACATGTATGGAAGAAATGGTTTGTTGGAGTGACTGGAAGAGAACTTAGTGATTTGACTACATCTACTTTCAGTCGTGGAACTAAGCGCAAACTGAAACGTGTCATTGAGTCTCGTGCCAGAAAGATATCTAACAGTAATTACAGCAGTAGTTACTCAGCACCAATATCAGAGAAAAAGGGCAGCATTAGCATTAAAGAATATGATGCGAAAACATTTAAAAACGAGGACGACATACAAAAGGGTGATCTTATAAAAGAAGAGGATGAAACTCATGAAAGCAATGTAATTGAAGAAAATAAAAAGGAAGACATGGCTCATGAAGATGATACTACTATTACAGTTAAAGTGGAAGTGACTGTCAGTAACACTGACCCTGAGGCTACTGAAGCTGATCCTGTTGTGAGCGAAACAACATTCACTAAACCTGACGACAATAAAACAGAAGCTCCTGAAGCTACTGAGCTATGTTTAAAAGATGAACAGAAAGTCATACAGCAGGAAAATGAAGATAATACAGTTGAGCCTGAAGCAGGTACTGCTGCCATCAATGTTGCTGTTACTGTGAGTGAGAAGAAATTCACTGCTTCATTTCCTGAAGATGATGATGATAAATATGAGAAAGAGAGGCTCCGCCAAGAAGAAGAAAGAGCTTACAATGCTTATCATAAAAAAGAATAACTAAACATGTAGTACATGCAAACAAGAATTTGTAGATTAAAGAAACTTCATAGTAGATATTAGAGAACTTTATTTTTAGTATGTCAATGATTAATTGTAGTTTCATAAAACTCTACATTTCTTCTTTACATTAAGTATCTTTGCTGTATACAAAAGGTTAAATCCCATTAGATTTACCAAAATGCTGTATTGGTCTTTAGTGTTTTATTAGCATCATAATTCTATATGAATCAATCAACACAAAGCCCTCATATATATCTTAATATAAGTAAATCTGGTTATAAATCTAATCTAAATTGATGAATATATAAATTTGTTTATTTTTATGACATATTAATAACCTTATGAACATTCGACCAAATATACCTTAATAATGAGTTAATATTCATTTCATTTAGCATCATATCTATCTTACCAATGCACCTAAAATATTACTTTTTAAAATTTTCACAACACCAGTTATTTGATCTGCATAAATTTGTTGTTCACACCTTGAGGTGTAAGAAAAGGCAAATTTTATTATCATTATTTTTGCCTAATCTCATGTATCTTTGGGCTCACATGTATTATTAAATTTTTGTGCTAATAATGCTTCTAGATTTATGATTTTCTTGATTTTCTTAATACATGTATATGTGTATCATTATGTACATCTGTTGCACATCTATTGCAAGAATCTATTACTTGTAATGTTTCAGTAAACCCACATAATACTGCCTTGGTCTAATTATACACAAATGCTATACCGTAGGGTGCCTTTTTTCGAGGGCTATAAATTTTGTGGATTTCGCAATTTTTAAAAAGATTCGCGAAAATTACTTTCGCGAAAATCAAATTAATACGGTACAAGATGGCAGACGGCATAAATTCGCGAAAATTAAATCCGCGAAATAAAAATCCACGAAATTTATAGCCCTCGAAAAAAAGGCGCCCTACAGTATGTACATAAAAACTTCTTAAATCTAGTGGCTAACAAAGAGTATTTTAAATGCCTCATGCCTTAAAGAAAGGCTAATTATGTGTTTTTCAAACTTCATACAACAAAAGTATTGTAAAAATTTAAGCTAAGCTACTCTAATAAAAATGCTTTTGATCATCATTGCCATTGCATCTGTTGTTTGATCTTACTTTGCAGGAACAAACAACAGATTCAATGGCAATGATGACTAAAGCATTTTTATTTAGAGTAGCTTAGCTCCTCACACAGACCACAGCTGAAACATAAACATTATAACCAGATGTTCTAATAGCTGCATTAATAAAAAGTTATCATTCAAAATTATTGTTTGTACAAAGTAAGTGATTATAGTTGTCTTTAGACCATATGTGCACTGTTAATTATTGTTGTCCTGCAAAAGACATAGTTCTACTATCGCAACAGACTGAGATCACAGTTGAGCCTGAAGCAGGTACTACTGCCACCAATGTTGCTGTTACTGTGAGTGAGAAGAAATTCACTGCATCAATGATTTCCTGAAGATGATGACAATAAATACGAGAAAGAGAGGCTCTGCCAAAAAGAAGAAAGAGCTTACAATGCTTATCATAAAAAAGAATAACTATACATGTAGTACATGCAAAACAAGAGTTTATAGAGAAAATTCATAGTAGATACTAGAAGAACTTTATTTCAATGATTCATTCTAGTTTCTAAAGCCTCTACATGTAGCTCCATTAAAATTAACTTGCATGCAATAGCAATAATACATTTTTAATGTAATAACAACCACCTACTCACATAATTAAACCACCCACTTACTTCATTTTAATTAATACTGCAATGCTAAGCATGCATTGTACACACATGCCATGCCAACTAGTCTAGTGTGACAGATTTAATTAGGACAATTTCTACAACACCCCATTCGAGAGCAAAGACATGACAGCTAGGTCAACGCTGCTTTTTGAACTGCTGAGTTTGGCAACAGCTCTTTCTTTTTCAAGTAATTATGTATCTAGGCTATATATTTTAATATTAACATTTTCTTTAGCTGCTGCACAACTTTCATTTATTAATGCAACTGATTACAATATACTGAAGGATATAGATGATGGTTGTGTTGAGGTGGAACTACCAGGACCACTTCAATTTGGTGGCTCCAACTTTACCAGGGCCTTTGTAAGTGTAAATAACTCAATAAAACTTTACATTAATTTCAATAGCTTAGCAGCAATGGCCTAGTCAGTTTTGGTAAAGAATTTTCTTCATATTATCCAGTACTTTTCCCTCTACGCATTAAAATAGCCATTCTGGCTCCATATTGGGATGATATAATATTGTCAGAGAAGAGAGAGCTCCGTTTTAAAATATTTAGTAAAACTTCTAGTATCACAATTGAGGTCAATAACTTCCTCACATTGCATACTGGGAAGAATTTTGCAGCTGATTGGATACTGTGGTCTTATTGGTGTCATGTATGCCCCTATCCTAACAAGGATTGCGCATTACATAAGGTGGAGATATTGCCATAATGAACAAATGTATTATTTACTGTATTTTAGTCAAATTCTTTCCAGCTTGTTGTAGCTGTACAAGGCAGTAAAACCTACTCTATTTTTATATACCAGTGTGATCTCATAAAGTGGACACTTCATAAGGCAGTTGTTGGTTTCAATTTCAATAATGGTTTTTATCAAAACCATGAACTGTCAAAAAGTAGAGATGTTGTCAATATCGACTGTCCTGATGGCTCTCCCAGTCATTTTGCAATTGTTGTTTACAAGATTGACAATGGTGAGAAAATTAACAGAGAAATAGTTTAAGTGATAGAAAAATGTATGCAATTTACTCCCTCATATAATTCAACATTAGTCCTCAAAATCACTGTTAATATCCTATAATTAAAATTTATTTTCTTTACTGTAGTGTGTAATGCAAATACTCCAACCACTAATTATGGTACATTTCATTGGCCAACAACATTACCTGGCAATACAGTTGCTTTACCATGTCCTAATGGTCCTAATGGAGCTATTGCCACTAGAAAATGCTCAGAAAATAGCATATGGGAGTCACCAGATTTGTCATCATGTTTCACAAATACTGGAAAAATACAAGTATTTTGTACCATACACATTACTCATATTATTACTGGTAATCTCAATAGAGTCTTACTATAAATAACACAAATATTATGCCAGTACTGCACAATATAGCTGTTACTGTAAATGCTATAACTAACACTAGTGATCAGAACAATGGAAACATTGAAGCAATATCCAATATATTCAATCAAACAGCAACAATACTGTCAAATACTACAAAGTTATCATTACAAGAGGTAACTACGGTAAGAATGCAAAACTTGACTAAGCATATATATATACCTAATTACATCATCTACATTAAAGATTGCAGAGAATACTATAGAAATATTACAAGATATACAGGAGTGGCCAATGAATGTAGTAGCAACACAATCCAATAAGTAATTAATAAATTGTGATTTTCTCACTAGTTCTATAATTGTTAAATTAATTATTTTGCTATAAAATGGTATTATAAATAGCATTGTCAAGTCATTTGAAACAATTACAGATGCTCTATTGAATCAAGGTAATGTTACTGATGTAACACTTCTAGAGCAAAGCATTGCTTTTAGTGGAAAACAAGTAAGTAGTATTCCTAAACTGCTTTTAAAACATAATTATTATACAGGTAATGAAATCACTGTACAATGGGATCACATTCACTGCATCTTCTATCAGTGAGATTATGAATGCAAACATTGCTTTGAAGCATTGTCTTTTTTTCAATAACTATGCAACTATCATGTTTCCACAGGCAATGCACTCACAATAGAGACTGTAGATAATGAAAACAATACAAGTTTTACAAATGATGGAGAACTGGCAACAATTAAACTGCCAGAAAGTATCCTCAACATTATAAATGACGAGGATGACAACATCAACTTTGCATTTACAATATATAATCAATCAATTTTGTTTCCTGTTCAAGGATCAGTTCAAAATACAGTAGTGGAGTCACCAGTTATTGGTGCAAGAATCAGTGGAGTGGCTGATGGTACACAACTATCTGATCCAGTATTTATAAGGCTTACTCTGAAAGGAACTCCAGTAAGTCAGCTTAATAATTTTAATGATAATTATTTATGATTATTAATAAGAATGCAACTAATCACCAGTGCGTATATTGGAACTTTACAGCTGCAGGTAAAACTAATTTTGCCAGAAATTTGTAATACAATAATTACATAAGCAGATGGCAGAGGCAATTGGTCTACTGATGGTTGCATTACAATAGTCAGCAATACTAGTTCAGTTACTTGTCATTGTGATCATCTGACTAACTTTGCTTG